CCCTGAAATGATGTCACAGCCTCAGAGTTTATGGGGGGTATTTTCTTACATCATTCCAAATGATTGTTTGCGTGGTTCCCAAAGAGGGTTCCCAAAGAGGCGCTAGTTAGTTATTTTGCCTAGAAAGGAGTTGTCCTTTTTCCTGCATGCACCGTGAAGGTGGGAAATTGCCTCTGTTAAGCCTTCCCTTGCCTGACACCTCAGGGGCTTGACCTTGGCCGCCCTGTGAGAATGCATCCCCCAACTCTCAGGCCTTCCTACATCTGCGGTTACTTCCTTATATTTGGATTTCTGGTTAAATATAAGCCGTGTGTGTACAGACACATAGGAAGAAGACTCAGGCGGTTTATCTGCCGTGAACATATGGGGAATACTCATTCTGTAGGAAATAGAAATCCTAACCAGACTCCTCGGGGTGGTGAGCACCTTGTAGAAACGCTCACTCTTCTTGGTGCCAGCCTCTTAGCAATCCCTCCGTCATCTCAGTCGCAGAATTGAAACGACTGTTTCTTGTATTAGTGGGGTGTAACTGCTCGTGTTCAGAAACTCATGCGTTTGAAAGATTGAAGATCGGTCTGGCCTGATTGTGGCAAGAGGAGCGAGTGGACCGAGTTGTTTTCGGATGCACGTGTGCCAGTGTTGAGGGAATCACGTTGGAGTTGACCACAGCTCCCGCTAGCCGTCTGTTGAGCGGTAAGTGATACTTTGGCCTTGTGTAGTTGATAGTTAGCAGTTGCTTAGGATGGCTTTTTTGGATTAAGCGTTTCATCAAGTCCTAATCTGTTGTCATTGAGACCTTGAGAGGAGCACAGGGCTTGTAACTGTTGTGCAGAGTGGGTGTCTTTGAATAGTTGGGCAGTGATTTCGGTTGTTTACATTGACTTTTTGCAAGTAATTTTTTAAGTAAATTAGGTATTTCTATGGTTCAGAACTAAGAATTCTGGCAAGAGACAAGCTAGGAATCTGGTGCCACTGTACTACGTAGCTCCAGCTTTTCTTCCTTTTTGTGCCCAAAGAGCGTTTTGTTCACTTAACAGTATCCCGGAGACTCCTTCCCACCTGCACATCAAGCTTTTCCTCATTTTTCCCATTAGTCTTGTGATGAGATTGAAGGCACATATCTTTGGAGAAACTATGGGCATGAAATGGTAATAAAAACGCATTTAAAATCTGTTGGAAAGTTTTTCAGATCATACTTTAAAAATAAAGAAAGCAGTAAAAATGGTAAAATTGAAAATGACACAAGAGAAAAGTTTTCCTTGGCATCTTTCTGAGCATTGCCTAGGTTGATGGTGAGGCTTCTTCCAGCCACCGGCTGTGGGGATGTGGTACCTGCAGGTGCCACCAGGAATTACGTGCCCGCCCCCCCCACCCCCTTTATTGACACGATATTATGAAATCATCTGGAGATTTAGTTCTCCTGCTGCACTACCCGTATCTCTCTTGTGAACACTTCACATTGTATGTGAACGACAATAAGAATGGGTGCTTAGAAAGTGTGACTCAGAGGTTTTTCTTTTCTAAGTTTATTTATGGTGAGAGAGAGCGCCCGAGAGGCAGGGTGGGCAGAGAGAGGAATCCCAAGCAAGTTCTGCACTGTCAGTGCAAGGCCCGATGCGGGGCTTGATCCCACACACCATGAGATCGTGACTGAGCCAGGCAGGTGCCCCTGTACCGACTGACTCATTTTTAAAAGTAATTCTCTTCATTTTTGTCCTCACATGTCCTGTGACTATTTGTTGTCCATTCCTTGTATGGGGACTGAAGTCATTAGTGTTGTTTTTTTAAATCTTTCTAAATGTTTTTGAGAGAGAGAGAGAGAGAGAGAGCGAGAGAGTGCGCGCGAGCACAAGCTGGGGAGGGGCAGAGAGAGAGGGAGACACAGAATCCGAAGCGGGGCTTGAACACATGAATCGCAAGATCATGACCCGAGCTGAAGTCAGACGCTCGACCCACTGAGCCACCCAGGTGCCCCTGAAGTCATTAGTGTTTCAGTGGGTTGTGTGTTTCCTTGGCAATTAGGAGGGTTACTGTTTTTCCAACAGGCTTCCGCTGCGAATATTTCATCACTCCCAAAAGTTCCCTTGTGCTTCTTTGTAATCAGTCCTTCCCCAGCCCTTGACACAGCCACTGAGCTTTTTTCTCTCCTTACAGTTTTGCCCTAGAATGTTACACAAGTGTAATCATACCACATGTAGCTTTTTAAGTCAGACTTCTTTCATTTAGCATGATGCTTTTGAGGGCCATTGAGTAGTGTTTCATTTTATAGACGTACCACGTTCGCCTCTTGATGGACGTTTGGGTTGTTTCCAGTTTTTAAAAAAAAAATTTTTTTTAATGTTTATTTATTATTGAGAAACAGAGAGACACAGAGCGTGAGCAGGGGAGGGGTAGAGAGAGGGGGAGACACAGAATCTGAAGCAGGCTCCAGGCTCCTAGCTGTCAGTACAGAACCCGACGCGGGGTTCGAACTCCCAAACTGCGAGATCATGACCTGAGTCAGTCACTCAACCAACTGAGCCACCCAGGCGCCCCTGGGTTGTTTCCAGTTTTGAATAGGGCTGCTATAAACATCAGCCTACAGGGGTTTTTTTTGTTTGTTTGTTTGTTTTTTTTTGTTTGTTTTTGTGGACATAGGTTTCCATTTCTCTTGGGTGAGTGAGGAGGCATGGGATTGCTGGGTCTGATGGTAAGTAATTTTATAAGAAACTGCCTGGCTCTTTTCCAGAGTGGCTGTGCCATTCTTCATTTGTGTTGGCCATGTAGAAAGTCCCAGTCGTTCCAAATCCTTGTCAGCATTTGGTATTGTTGGAAATATTTTCTCTTAGTTTGGCTTGTCTTTTCATTCCCTCCTGAGCACATTTTGAGGTTTATTTATATCTAGACTTTACGATCTCTGTCTGTAGTGGGAATACCAGCCAGCGCTGTCATTTCATTACACCCTGCTTCCCCTCCCCACCGTTTCTCCTGCTTCCTTTTCACTGAAAGATACCTTTTCCTTCCATTGCGTGGTATTACACCAGACTGAAATGAATACAGGCTTTTCCTCAGTGTGGGAAATGATAAGAAGGTCTAAGTTCAGAATGAAAGTATCGCAGGTGATTATTTTTAAATTGTTTCGAGACTGCTTATTTTCACCATTAGCGTCAACACACAATTTCTTTGTGGATTTTTGCAAGTATATGGAAGTATTGTGTGAAGCTGTTCTTGTTTTTTTTATATATATTTACAGTTTTGGTAGCTATTGCCAGAGAGCCCTCCACAAATATTTTCCTGAAAAGTATTGGTGCATTCTTACTAACAGGCTGTGAGAGTTAATTGGCATTTATCTACATTTACAATAAGACTGGGCATTATCCACATCTATAATATGTAGTTACTGGTTACTTTTGATTACATGCTTGTAAATTTCCCTGTAGGTTCTTGAGCTCCATTAGAGCAGAGGAGCCCTAACTCTGCTTACCATTTTCTTTTTTTTTTTTTCCTTTATTTTAGAGAGTGTGAGAGCACAAGCATTGGGGAGGGGCGGGGGGGGGGAGAGGAGAGGGAGGGAAGGAGGGAGGGAGGGAGAAAGAACCTCAGGCAGGGCTCCATACTCAGTGTGGAGCCCAGGTAGGGCTCAATCCCCCCACCCTGGGATCGTGATCCAAGGCGAAGTCAAGAGTTGCACGCTCAGCTGACTGAGCCACCCGGGTGCCCCTCTGCTTACCATTTTTATCCCCAGCAACCGATCATCATGCTTGGCAGTTAGTAGGCTCTAAATAATTGTTGATTATATGAATGAATAATGCAGTGAGTGTTCTCTGTTGTAGAAATCTGGTCATACTGATTCTTTTCAGTGACTTATTTTTAGAAGCTTCGGGGAGAATATGAACTGCTAGGTACTTGCCCAACTTGCTTCCATGCAGGTAAACCAATTGTTATTTCAGAAAGTCACATTCCGAACTCTGTGAAGCAGGAGTTCACAAATAGGCTTGTATCTGTTCAATAATATGTTTATCTGGGGGCACCTGGGTGGCTTAGTTGGTGAAGTGTCTCCCTCTTGCTTTCGGCTCAGGTCATGATCTCGTGGTTTTGTGAGTTTGGACCCTGGTCGTGCTCTGAGCTGGTAGCTTGGAGCCTGCTTGGGATTCTCTCCCCCTCTGTCTCTGCCCCTCCCCCACTCTCACCGTCTCTGTTTCTCAGGATAAATGAATAAGTTTACAATAATAAAAATAATATAAAAAATTAAAAAATACTTTGGGGCACCTGGGTGGCTCATTCAGTTAAGCATCCAACTTCGGCTAAGGTCATGATCTCACAGTTTGTAAGGAGTTCGAGGCCCGTGTTGGGCTCTATGCTGACAGCCCAGAGCCTGGAGCCTGCTTTGGACTCTGTGTCTCCCTCTGTCTTTGCCCCTCCCCCACTTGTGAGCACACATTCTTGCTCGCTCGCTCTCTATCTCACAGAAACAATAAATGAATAAACTTTAAAAAATACGCTTGTGCATCATATTTAAATGAAACTTCAGGATAAAAAAATCACATATATATCTTAAATATCATTCATCAGGATCATTAGCATTTTTCTTGTTTTGGATTTCCCTGTCTTGCCTTTTGAACCACGTTTTCTGCTTTTCGTTAGTATGTGCGGCGGAGAGGGCTGAAATGGAGATAGTGACATGAGTCGACAGACAGGTAAACAGAACACCTGGAAGGGTTTGTGATCCCGAAGGTTTTCCTTCAGGATAAGTGTGGTGCACACAGTTGACCTGTTTCAGAATAGGCTTTATCAATTTCAGAGTGTTCTTTGACAGTTTGCGGAAACGGCTAAGCATTTTCTTGTTTGTGATCGGAAAATCACACCTCGGAATCTTTTCTGCCGACCCTTGATCGTTTAATTGAGAAAGGGTCTTGGGTGTTCTGGCCTACGTATTTCATAGGATTGGTATAGTCTGTAGCATCTTGCCTGAAAATATAAATTGTATATTTTATGTGATCGGTGGCTTTTTTTTTTTCCAGTATATTTTTGGAGACTTTAGCCCTGATGAATTCAATCAGTTCTTTGTGACTCCTCGCTCTTCAGTTGAGGTAAGACAAAACAGTGTTTTGTTTGAATATGTGTATAGATATAACTAATGGTTACGTTTTAGTTTTGAGTTTTTAATTTTGCTTGTTGATAAGGAAATCCAACGTACAGAAAAGCGCAGAGACTAATACAAGAAATGCCCAAACCCACCGAGCGGATTTGACTACTGTCAATATTTTGCTGTATTTATTAAACAGCAAAACGTCACAAGATAGCGTCGTGGCCTCCCTTGTACCCGTTCCCACCTCCTGCCTTCCCTCCCCAGAAGTAACAACTCTGCCGGATTGGTATTGTTTTCGGACTGTCGTCTTCACCTTTCACTACATACGTGGTTGTCAACAGATTGTAGCACCATATTGTTTCCTGTGGTTTAAATGGTAAACCGAGTCATACTGCGGTTGGCTCTTGAACGGCACGGGGATTGGGAGTGCCGACCCCAGCGCAGTTGCAAATCCGCAATAACTTTTGATTCCTCGCACCTTAACTACCCGTAGCCCGTTGTTGACCGGAAGCCTTACCGATGACAATGGTAACAGTTGATTACCATATTTTGGGTTTTGTAAGTATTATATACTGTATTCTCAGAACCAAGTAAGCTAGAGAAAAGGAAAGGTTAAAATAATAAGAGAAAATACATTTACAGTACTGTTCTGTGTTTTTGGAAAAAAATCCGCCTGGCGTGGGCCTGCACCGTTCACACCCGTGTTGTCCAAGGGTCAGCTGTAGATTCATCCTTTTGAGGTTTGTTTCTTTTAAGGTAACATTCTTTACATTCATGCTTTGATGAATGTGCGTTCATGTTCTACATTCGTGTTGTTTGATTTCAATTTCTCGATTCCGTCAGTAGAACGTACCACAGCTCGTTTGCCTTGTTTCCTGTTGAGGACCGTTTAGATCTTTGGTTCCTACGCTACTACAGAAACGTTGCGGTAAACATATTTTACTGTGTGTCCTCAGGCTCTGTGGGTTTCTCCAAGATCTGTTCCTAGGGGTGGGATTGCTGGGGCCACCAGGAGTAAGTGTTTAGTTTCACTGGCTACTCTGCTCATCCGCTTTCTGAGGGTTTCACCGTCTGCATGGCCACCAGCTGTGCGTGAGCGCCGTCACCATCTCAGTTAAAGAAAAGCTTCTCGCTTATTCTCACTACAGGTGTGCTCAAAATTTTTGTGAGTCTGCCGGGCTGGTTATGAATGGGTTCTCACTGTTTTAATTTACAATATTCCCAGGGTGCAAAGTTGAGAACCGCTTGGTTACTTTCGTGTGCCCAGCCCTCCTGTGAATTACCTGTCTCCCTTGTCCGCATTTTTTATTAAGTGGCTTGTCTTTTTCTTACTGCTTACAGGACTCATAGTCTTTGGTTTTGCATATTACAAGTATCTTTTCTGGCATGAGGGCTTTAAAAAATTTGTGTGTGTGTGTGTGTGTGTGTCTTTATTTTATTTTGAGAGACAGAGTGTGAGTGGGGGGAAGGGCAGAGAGAGGGGGCAACCCGGAATCTGAAGCAGGCTCTGAGCTGTCAGCACAGAGCCAGACGCGGGGCTCGGACTCACAGACTGAAATCCTGACCTGAGCTGAAGCCGCACATGTAACTGAGTGAGCCATCCAGGTGCCCCTAGCACGGGGGCTTTTTAAAAACTTCATGTGAGATGCACATCTCTTTTCTTGCTTGCTTGCTTGCTTGCTTGCTTGCTTGCTGGGTATGGGAAGTAACTTTTTAACTTTTAACTTTCATGCCAAACGTCTTGTTTTTTTTACTTCCGGTTTATAAATGTCTTTAAGAAATTCTTCCCTGCCCTGACGTAGCAAAGACACCATTTTTTTTCCTGAAACTTTTAAGGTTTTTGTGTTCACTGTAGTATGCAGTGCAGCCGAATGGACTTGGCTGTGCATGTGCGGTGGGGCTTGACCTCGTCCTCTGCCCTGGCCGCAGGGAGCTGTCCCAGCACTGGGCCCTCAGTTGCAGTGCCCCTTTGCTCTGGCCCTTGCGCTTGATCTCTGCAACGGTGCCACTCGTTTTAATTGTAGGCCGTCTTCTGGGAGGGCCCTCACCCTCTTGTGCTCACCCCAAGTGGTTTGGTTCTCCTTCTTCCTTAACTGTTCCTTAAGAATCTGTGATCAGCATGCCACGTTCCATGAAAAATCCCATTGAGATTTCAGTTAGAATTGTGTAAACTATGGGCTCATTTGTAGGAGAATTCACAATTTTATGAGAGTTTTCCTAAACACGATTTTGGTACATTTCACCATTCAGGTCTTTTACATGTAATTAATGATTTCTGTTTTAGTTTAATAAAACTGATCTGGAATATTTTTTCATATTCGTATTTTAAATATGAAAACTGTTGAAATTGTATCGAAAAGAACAAAGGGAGGTACGAGTAAGGATAAGGATAAGGACGTTGATGAGACCTAACCAGCCACTTGAGTGTTTTTGTGTGGAGTTCTTTTTACTTGGCAAGATGGAGCAGAAGATACTGACTCCTTAGGATTGGAGCCACACGGCCCGCGTTGCATGTGGCCTTGGCCAGTCCTGCCCGTTTCACCTTGGCTTCTTGAACTCTAGACTCTGGAGCTGGAGAGGAAGGATTAAATGACAGCGTGTTGAAAGCGTTACTTCAGCTGCACAGACTAGAGAGCGATTTATTGGTTTCTCCTCTTTGCCTTCAGGAAAAAGGAAGAAATCACCGAAAGCAAAGCTTTGGTCAGGTTACAGTTGACAAGGTGAATAAATCCCTTCAGTGCCCATCTCCCTCTGTTTTGTGTTCATTGATGGTAAGGGCGTTTTAAGGAATCTAAGGATAGGAGCCAGGAAACCGTGAATGCTGCGTTATAGAGTGTATTTCCTAAGGCAATAAAATGCATCTGTGCATGTTAGATTTTGTAGAATGAGGCTTGGAGTTGAGTGTGTCCTGACAGAAAAAATAACAATTAGGAAAAACATGATCGTCCCGTATTCCCCAAGTGTTAGTGTAATTGAGGTTCTACCCTGTGTACTAATGGTTCGAGTTTTAAGTCATTTCTGTCTTTGAATCACAGTAGAGTACAGAGGCACCTGCCAGGGACAGGACAGCCTGTGCGCTTGGCAATTAAGGTGTCAAAAGATGAGAAAGCCCCACTCGTGTATTTTACAAAAGCTTTTCGCAAGTGTGTGCATTTGTGTGGGTTTGTGAGAGCCAGTTTGCAGGTAAGTGTCAGAGTAAAAACGTGGGTTTTCCTGTGATGTGAAGGTAGAGAATGCACCATATTTCAGAGTCTGGAGAGCTGCGCTCCTTGGTCACTCTGCTACTCAGGCCTGGTGGCTCTGGCAGTTTCCTCCCACTGATCGTGCTTCCTTACAGGGAAACGGGGGTGTTTGTTTACCTCTCAGAATGTTGGGCAGTCATTGGTTACTGTGGAAGACCTTCACACATAAGGATTTGATGGTAAAGTCGTGTCAGGCTTTTTACTGTAGAAATAATGGCTGTGTCTTAACAGAATGAGTTTATAGCCAGAAATCTTCGTAAGTCTGGCTCATTTCTGGGTCGTCTGTGTTTTCGCTTTTGAATATGCGTTGCGTTTGGGGGCAGGTATGACAGATGTCGTCTGCCAGAATCACATATGGTCCAGTGACCCGCAGAGGGGAAACACAGGCTAATTAATGCGATTGGGCCAAGCTCTCTCTCTGTCGTAATTGTTGTAATTCAGGAGTCTGGAGCATACTAGTAGCATCATCACGTGGGGCACAGACTGTTTCGTGGCGTGCCGTGTGGTTGCACGGGTGGGTGTGTGGGTGCTGTTGTCTCCTGGCGCTGTGGCCTTGTGGCTCGGGCCTTTTGCCTCGCGCTGAGAACGGCGGTGGCTCCTGCCCGCTCCGTGCCTGCCGTGTGGCCGTCGTGGGAACTCGCACCAGCCCTGTTCATCATGTACTTCTTTGGCTGTTAGGAATTTGAGAAGCATTTTTTTCCTCTCCCTGGGGCCAAGAACTGAAAAAACAAAGTTTGAGAAACATAAAGTGTTAAACTGTAGGAACATTCTGCTTTTCTCCTGTTCTCTCAGCTGAGTGTTGGACTCCGTTTTACTTTCCCTGTTTGAAAGCTTGCCCCTGGCCAGACAGGATGGTCAGTAGTTGAACAGAGTCCGAAGAAACCCTCTCAGCTGGTTTCTGTATGTGATCTTAAATATTAGTAGAAATTTAAAGGTAACATACCGCATATCTTTTTTTATAAAGCTGTGCTCTAGTTTGTAAGCCAGCGTGATTTAAAAATGAATTTCTCCAGCTGGAAGAAATACAGTCAATTTAGTGAATAAGCATGCTTTGAACCCCAGTCGTCATCATGTCAGTAGTGTTCACAAATTAGGGGTGAATGAACGCTCCTTGTTCTTGGGACTTCCGGAACTTCAGTATTGGGGGCAACACGCACACATGCTTAATGCAGTTACGGGAAAAACAAGACCAGAGCGGGATGGGCCACGCTGCAGACGCTGAGGGTTGTGTGTGTCTGTGCGTGCGTGGGTGCGTGGGTGTGGGTCTGGCTATGGAGAGTTAAGACTGTTCCTCTCAGGGGTTTGGTGTCCTTGTGGGGCTTCAAAGGAGAGACTTGAGGTTCACGAGGGGCTTTTAGACGGCGGAACAAATGGGGGCCGTGCCAAAAGGTTTTGAAACGTTAGTTCATGAAATGTGATCGACACAAAATTGTGTAAGCTTAATAAGGTGGGCGCCACATCTGATACATTTATATTGCAAGATTGCTGTCGTAGAGTTAGCTGTGTCTCGTCACGGAGTTGCCGTTTCCTTTAGTTGTGACAACGGTTAAACTCTGGTCTCTCAGGCTTCAGGTTCACAGCCAGGTTTGCTGCCTGTAATCCGTGTAGTGTGTCACCTGTCCAGGGCTTACCTGCGAGTTGCAGGTACTTACCCCTCAGCAGCGTCTCTCCCGTTCCCCCAGTCCACAGCCTTGGGAACTACCCACCATTCCACTCTTTGGGTTTTGGATTTGAGGTGTTTTCGTTTTTGAGATTCCAGAGGTAAGGGATGTCATACAGTATTTGTTGAAAACACGACCTTCTTCATCAAAGGGCCCAAGCAGTGACTTCTCCAGACGGTGGCGCTATTCTCAGCCTAAGTTGATCTCACTTTGTACCTGATGTCACGAGATGTCAGCATCTTGCGTTGCTCACCGTGCATTCGTGTGTGAGAGCTTTATGGTTTTGCTTCAGTTTGAAAGTCTGTATGCTCGTAAATAGCTGCACGGTTAAAGAGGGAACTTTGAACAACTCTTATAATTTCATTCCGCTGTCTATAATAAATCCACATTTACCACAGACTAAGGGGCATCTTATGAATGGTGGAGGTTTGTTGAATTAAAGGTGCCACGTGCTTACAGAGGAAAAAAATACACACACACACACACACACACACACACACACTTCTGTGCCAGAACTCATTCCAGCATCACTAATTCCCACATTTGCACTCTTACCAGATTAGTAACTCAGAGTGTTTTAAACACCAACAGGTTGTCAGTGTTGCCCTGGAGTCTGGTGGGGTGGGAGGTCTGTTTTCGGGACCTGCCTCTACCCCTTACCACAGTGTGTGTAAATACAGCGTGATTAAAAAACTAAGCACTTTCGGTGCCTTACGGTTGTATAGATTTCTGTCACCAGGGGGCACCCTGCTGTCACTGATAGAGAAAGAGAAGGCCCTCTGCATCCGGGAGCTTGATAAACTTCCCTTGTGGCTGCAGAGGAACGGGAAGCGACTGGTCCTCACGTGCGCCCTTTTTGTTCCGTGTGTCTGTGCCAGAGGTCAACGCTGCAGCACCCCGTGCGAGGTGCGAGTCCCAGGGTAGCCCCTGGCCGCACCCGGAATGGGTTCTCCTGGTGTGTCAGCGGATGGGAACCGTGCGCCCCCTAGTGGGAATACGTGGTGGAAACATGCATAGCTCTCCGGTCCTGAAAGTGTTCACTTCCTTTTGTTTTTTTTGCTTTGTTTTTTAAAAATGTTTTTAACCTTTATTGATTTTTGAGAGAGAGAGAGAGAGAGAGAGAGAGCATGAACGGGGGAGGTTCAGAGAGAGAGGGAGACACAGAATCCAAAACAGGCTCCAGGCTCTGAGCTGTCAGCACAGAGCCTGACGCGGGGCTCGAACTCACAACCGTGAGATCATGACCTGAGCCGAAGTCAGACGCTCCACCGACGGAGCCACCCAGGCGCCCCTGTTCAGTTCCTTTTGAACTGCTCTTTGTTTCCTTAGGTTCTCTTGGGGGAGAGAACTTGGTTACTTGGAGTGATAAGAGTTTGTCTCCGTGATTATTGAGTCGACTTGCTGAGAGTTAATTGGAGAAATCAGCCGAGGAAGCCACTCACGCAGCAGTTCTCGGACAGTGGCGGGCGTGACAGTCCCCGGGGCCCGTCCAGGAAGCCCGGGCGCTGCGGGGGGACACGCTTGGAGAAGGGCTGTGTTAGGGTGTCGTTGCTTTGCTCTTCTGTTTTTTCTTCAGGTCCACTTGCCTTAGCCCTTCCGTCCTAAGCATTCTTACCCCGAATGTGTCCGTTTGAAACATTTCCAAGTCTTAAATGCTGTGGAGTAGCTAGGAAGAAGAAAAATTTGGGATATTCATAACACTACCTTCCTGCTTTTTACAAAGAGGTCAGATACTTGCTGTTTTGCTTTCTCTCTCCTAAACAAGGAATGTTTTTTCCAGCCTTTAATTCAGCTATTTAAGGCACTGTGTCAAAAAGGAGCCGTGATTCTCAGACTTCTCTGTGGGCTCTCGGCACTCTGCCCGTGGGCCTGGTCCTGGCCTCCACTGGCCGTGCTGACGCGTGTGAGGTGAACCTGAAACGCCGACGGGCAGTACGGGTCATCTTTGTCGGGGGCCCGGGACAAGTGGCCGCGGTACCTGTGGGCCGCCTGACGTCCTGTGAGACGGGGGTGTTTGTCGTAGCATTGTATCGTAGTTGATTCACGTGTCCGTTGGAGTCCGTTTTTATTATTTTGCCTCATTTTTGGATCTTAATGGCAATATTTAAAAGCATTCCTGTGGTATTTTTTTCTTAAATGAAGGTGATTTAATTTTACCATCAGTGTATGTTATTGTGGTAAACAAATGTCACGAGAAGTTGAACGGATAAAGAGTTTTAACGAAGTGTTGCCTTAACGAAGAAGCATGTGTTGGGTGTTAACATGTTGCTGAATTAAAATTTGTTTTCCACTTCCCTGTGCAGCTTCCTCCCTACAATGGAACGGTTCTGTGTGGCACACAAGCTCCCGATGAACTACCCGATGGTAAGCTGGTCTCTCCTCTACCCCCCGGACATGCGTGCTGGCCCTGTGTGCTGGGGGTGGGGGTGGGGGGGGGACGGGCAGGAGGCCTGGAAGCCACGTTTCCTGCTCGTTCCTACTTTTCCAGTAAACATTGCCTTACCGCTCAGTGTTTTCGCTGTAAGCTATAGCATATTTGATCACTGCACCGTTTTGACTGAGGAGTTAAGTGTCTCCTGGGCTTCAGGGTATCAGATGTTCCAGGTTAGCGAAGGAGTTGCTTGTTCGAGTCTGTTTTTCTCTTCACCGTTCTCAGCTGCACAGGTAGGTTTTTCATGGCCAGAGCTTTCTGAGAAACTTGTCCGCGGGCTTCCTCCTGGTTGGGGAGGCTGCCGGGCCGCAGCTGCCGCCTCCCCGAGAGCGGGCGCAGAGCCGATTCCCGGAGACGGTGCCCGCCGAGATGCAGTGATCTTGTGTTGTCGAAGGCCGCGGGGTTTAAGGAGTGGCGGGTGGTTCGGTTACCGCGCGGGTCGGGTCCGTGTGGACCGTGTTCAGTCTGGATCATTAAGGTCCCTCGCTGGCCTCGGAGAAGCGAACGCTGACCCTTTCCTTGGAGAGCCAGGGATCCGGTCCCGTGCTTCGTTAGCATGGGCTCTTAATTATAGTCTAGACGTGCGCTTTGAAGAGACTGTCTGGACTTTGTGCACAGTAAAATCGGAGAGAGCCCGCGTCTCACGTTGGCAGCTGAGAAGCCGGCGTCTCGGAGATGGCGAGGGGAAGGGCGGTTCCGGTGGCGGCCCAGGACGGGACGGAGTGAAGTGAGCCGGAGGGAGCCGGCCCCCCTGCCTGCCGCCCAGCCTCCAGGGCGGCTGTTGCCCGAGTCCGCTGGATTGCAGTCTGTCTCCGTGCATTCTGCGCGTCGTGAGCACGCTGCGGGTGTCTCCTCAGCGCTTTAAAATGTCTCGTTCTTTTCCCTTTCACGTTACTCCTTTTATTCTCGTCCAGTTAACGGCCTCACCACCCGCTCAGGGGGCGCAGGCTGGAGACGGGAGGCCCTGCCAGCTCTTCCCGGCGTCCAGCTCTCTCCTTCCCTTTCTCGCGCCGTACCCGCCTTCCAGGCTGTTCTCTGTTCAGTTACTGCTGCTTGTCCCCCGTTCTCCATTGTCTCAAGTCCACCTTTTAATCTGCTGAAAACACAGCTGGGACCTTGCCACCTGCTCGTGCTGGTAGAGACCGGCCAGCTTAAAGGCCCCTTTTTCTCTGAGGCCTTTTCTGTTCTCTCGCGTTTCCGTGACGTCTGTTTTCTTACAGTGCTTGTCCCACTGTCCAGTGATGAGTCCGCCCCCCTTTCCGGGCTGAGTGCAGCCGTGGCGGCAGGGATCGTAGTCGTCCACGTCTGTGTGCTCAGCAGCCGCACGGTGTCGTATCTGGAATGTTGTCAACCCCCAGTATGGTTTCGGATGAATGATTTAGGAGGACGTCCTCTGCCTCCCACCGTAGGCAGCTGCAGCGGGCTCTTTGCGGGGGCTCATCACGGCGTGCCTTTCCTGCCTCTCCTTTCCTTCAGTCACTTCCCACAGCTGGAAATAGTGTGCGCCCCCCTCTCCCCCCGCTCCCAGCCAGCTGTCCTGCCTCTTCCGCGGACGCCTCTGTAGCTTCTCGTGGAAATTGGCGCTCTTCCCTGTGTCTGGAAGCATTCTCTCTGTAAACCGTTGAGGCCTTGTCTTGCCCTCCCTCCGTACTGTCAGCTTCAGTCCAAGGTGTTTGTCTGCAGGTAAATGTGACTCCCTGGGGCAGGGACTCTGCCTTACTCATCACTCAACCCTCTGTGATAAGAGTAAGCACTTTGCACGTGGCTGGCTGCTCTATTAATTGGACAGATGAGCTGAGCAAGCCACTTAAGCAGCAGTTCTTAGACAGTGGCGGGCACGACAACCCGTAGGGGCCCCTGAGCATGGCAGACCGCGGGGCACGTTCAGGAACCCAGGGAGCTGCAGGGAGCACGCTCGGCAAAACGCTGCTAGGATGTCATCGTTTTACTTGAGCTGCTTCCCTCCCCCAACCACCCACTGCCTGTATAGCCTGAGCGCGCTGAGCGGTCCCCAGTCACCCACTGCTTCGACTGTGTTGTGTAAAGCCTGGCTTCGCGGGCTTCCACCGGTCCGTCAGCCCGCACCGACTGGCTTCTCCTGACTCCTCTGCCGTGTGGGGCAGTGCGCACGCGTGTCCGTGGTGTGTGTTCTGGCGAAGAGGAGGAGCTGTTCCGGGTAGGACTCTGCCTTCCAGTGATGCAGTCAGACCCTAGACAGGATCATGTTTTCACAATGGCCGTAGCGTAGTGAAATGATTCCATTAATGTCATATCATGTTCTAGAATGTTCTGTGATACGATAAGATTAAGGAAATGTCATATCATGTTCTAGAATATTCTGTGATATGATAAGATTAAGGAAATATCATATCGTGTTCTAGAATGTTCTGGGACACGATGAGATCAAGGATTGAGATGTGGAAGGCACTGTCTGTTGGAGTTAAAATCTTGCACAGACTGCCTGACACAGCGCATACTAATTTATAATCAGATGTCACAATACGCACCAGTGTCCCCAGAGTAGCCTCCCTGTGTGGCGTGCTCTTCATTTCCTCAAATACATCCGTGTCAGTCCATGCAGCGGCATTGCACCCTCGCAGCACCGCGGAGTAGGGGATGCCTGGAAGCAGAATGGACGGTCTACTTCTAGGCATGATGGTGGAGAAGTTCACTTGTCTTTAGTGATTCTTTTCAAAATAAGGAAACAAAAAATCAGTGTTCAAGGACCAAAGGATTCAAGTGGTCATGGTGGTGGCTTTATATGGAAATGTGCTGTTAGGTGTAACCATCCCTAGTATTCCTTTTTCAGGAACTTTCTGGTGTTGGGCAGGTGTTCGCCCCTCCCGCCCCCCAGGTGTGATCACTAAACGGATGAAGAATTAGACTGTTGACACCCCTGCCCTCCAGTAACTTGCACGTAATTGCCGCCTCTTGGGGGCTGCTTTTTAAAAGACTTCTGAGGTGAAACATAGGATATTTCTAATAGAGCCCAGTTCTTCTGGCCTATAGGGTGGGTTTTTTTTGAAATACATGTTTTGAGAAGTTGGCTTCTTAGGCTAGACTCGGAGAAATCCTCAGTTAGGCGTTAAAGATGAGTTAGAAGGCATGTGGCCTTTCCTGAACTTCACAATTTAGAACTGTTGCGTCAGGTAGAAGATGACACTGATGCTTGATGTCTGTTGAAAGCTGCAGTTGATTCTAAAACTTAACGTAATTTCAGAAATGTAAACTATGAAGAAAATGTACCTTTCGGAATGGTGGCACGTGTAGATTGTTGTCCGTTGGCAGGAAGTAGTGAAAGGTCCCAAAGAGGTTTCTAAAAGTGTGCAGTCCTAACTGTCTTTGGGTATTTTTGGAAGTATCTTCTTCACCCGTGGAGTTCATCCATTATGAATTCATTTAGTGCACATTTACATGCATTCATGCAAAGCCATTTTCAGACTTCAGTTAAGGTTGTCAGTGGAGGAGATCAGGAGATGGGTGATTGTTTTGTTATTTTATTTTTTTAATGTTTATTCATTTTTTGAGAGAGAGAGACAGAGCATGAGCAGGGAAGGGGCAGAGAGAGAGGGAGACACAGAATCCGAAGCAGGCTCCAGGCTCTGAGCTGTCAGCACGGAGCCCAGTGTGGGGCTTGAACTCACAAACTGTGAGATCATGACCTGAGCCGAAGTCACATGCTTAACCGACTGAGCCACCCAGGCGCCCCGAGGAGACGGGTAATTGTAAGGAGCACCTCTGAAGTGCGCTTTTATGTAGAGGATTAATTCTGGTGTAGTTTATATTTTCTGAATTATTAAATTACACCAGTTAGAGAAGTGATAAATACAGCAATGACTTCAAGTCCCTAAGTTAGTTGTCATGATTTTTTTTTTTTTTTTAATTAAGTTGTCCAAAATACATATACCCCAGAAAGCAAGCCAATGAAGTCATATTTCACTGAGGGGTGTTTTTAGACAGGCAAAATATTACTTGCTTTCTATTATAATCTCATTTAAATTTCTGCCTTCTGGAAGTCTCCCATGGCCACCCTGAAAGTGGAAAATAAATACAGGCTTCTGTTTTTCATATCTCTAAATTAAATAAAATTTCATAGTTATTTATTTTCAGCAGATTTTTTGGCACAGAAATAAAATGTCATAGCTTTGTTAATTAGAAGAAGACTTTAAGGGTTCAGTTTCAAAAAGAAAATAATTTTTGAGACGTCTATAAGCCATGTTCTCAACTAATGGGATATTCGCTGATCCTTGTCTTTCTAAACAGGACAAGAATATCAGAGAATTGAGTTTGGTGTTAATGAAGTAATTGAACCTAACGACACTTTGCCGAGAACTCCCAACTACAGTATTTCAAGCACATTGAATCCTCAGGCCCCTGAATTTATCCTCAGCTGCACAACTTCCAAAAAGATCCCTGATGACGTAGATAAAGAAGCGGCCTACAGCTCCGTGGACTGCCAGTACCCAGGCTCTGCCCTTGCTCTGGACGGCAGCTCTAGCGTGGAGGTGGAAGTTCTAGAAAACGACGGTGTCGCGGGTGGTCTTGGACAGAGGGAGCGTAAAAAGAAGAAAAAACGTCCACCAGGATATTACAGTTACTTGAAAGATGGCGGTGAGGGGAGTAGTCCCACAGACGCCCTGGTCAATGGCCACGCCAACCCAGCGGTCCCGAACAGCGTAGGCTCAGAGGATGTGGAGTTAGCGGGCGCGGCGCCCCCATCGGGGACACCCAGGACTTGCGGCAGCCCTCAGGGTTCCACGGACTTCGTCAGCGACGCTGTGTCCGGCGGGCCTTTCCCTGGAGCCCTCGACGGCGATGCGAGGACTGCAGGGCAGCCCGGGAGCTGCCACGGGGCTGACTTGGAACAGTCCTGCCTCCCCGCAGAGGCCGGCAGGGACAGCCTGTTGAGGACAGCGGTGGCTCAGCCTTACACGGGGACTCACACTACTGAAAACCTTGCCGTTGCTAATGGACAGATACTTGAATCCTCGGGCGAGGGCTCCGCTGCCAATGGGGTCGAGTTGCACACTGTGGAAAGCCCGGACTCGGACGCTGCTAAAGCCGAGAGCGCTGCCCCTGCTGCCGATGCCCCGGCCTCTGTGGCGGGCACCGCTCCCGCCAGCCAGCCTAAGTCGTGGGCCAGTCTTTTTCATGATTCTAAGCCCTCTTCCTCCTCGCCCGTGGCTTCCGTGGAAACTAAGTATTCCCCTCCCGCCACGTCCCCCCTGGTCTCTGAAAAGCAGGTCGAAGTCAAAGAAGGGCTTGTTCCGGTTTCAGAGGATCCCGTAGCCATAAAGATTGCAGGTATAGTTCAAAAGACGCAGGTGGAGAGTGGAGATGGGAGCAGGGCTCCTTGGCTCCGGGTGAGGAACTTTGAGGCTGTCTGGGCTGACGGTTACCCGCGGCAGCAGGCCCTGACCTGTGTGTTACTAGGAATTTCTCGAGAATGGCCATGCCTTAATTGTTACCTGTCTAGATGTAAAAGGATATCCAAGCACAGTGCCGGGGGGGGGCGGGGGGTGGCGGGGGTGTGCTCATACCTTTG